CCTCAGGCGGCGCCGGGTGGGGAGGCGTGTGTGTCACTGGGATGGGAGAGCCGCTGCTTTTGGGGGAGGGAGCAGCACAGCGCCTATATCCACCTCCGCGCCGGCAGCCTCCCTGGCACAGCCGGGAGGTCCCGGACCGAGCAGTGACCCCTGCCACCGGCTGCCCGCAGAGCCAGGGGAGAGCCCCGTCCTCCCTCCCTGGCGATGGGCACTGGCTGGGACGTGTGTGCACTCCTCTCCACGGCGTTGTTTGCTGCCCAGGCTTTCCCCCAGACGAACATAAAGATCAGCCAAGGTGAGTGCAAAGCGTTGATTGTGACTTCGGGTAAAGGTAATTCTTAAACTGCAGCGGCTTTAGCAGGGAGAGGAGAGCGCAGACCTCCTGCAGGGTCGGCAGCTGGCTCTCCCCTTTCTCCGACTGCTCCAGAAGTCTCTGACTTTCCTTGAAATCAACTTTCCTCTTCATCTGGGGGGACGTGCCGAAAGCAGCCCCGATCTCTCTCTCCCAGGATATTGAAGCTGTCTCTGCTCTGGCTTTGTTTCTGTGTGTAAGGCAGTGCTTTTGCCTTCAGCGACGCACGCTCGCGTGGCACAGTGCCGTGGACCTTCAGCTGTCCCTACCGTGGGTCCGGCGTGGACAGGAGGGGGAGTGGGCAGAAATAACTGCCCGGAGGCACACAGCCCAGCAGGACGGGTGGGGGGGCCACTGCGGCTCCCTTATTCACACTTACTGCATGTGAAAAGTGGCCACAAATAAGTGATTCCCCCTTATTCCCCCCCCTTCATTTTTCCCCTGAGCTGTTGTTGATGGCAGCTGCTTTATGCCACTTAAGGTTCTTGCAAACTTTTTCATGGGGCTGGCGCGAGCAAGAGTCAGTGCTCTGAGCTTCTTCGCGCCCTGTTATGTTTGTGTGGGAATGTGAGCAGAAAGGGGCTCCTTAAGTGGTGTTCAGTGAGTTCATGAGAAAAAGGAGACAAGCCCAGCTTTCCGGCCAGACACCTACTCCGTGGGAGCTTCGCCAAAACTAGTTAAGGAGGAAAAAAACCCCTGCAAGATAATTCCTATCTGTTAGTGCCGGCTGCAGGAGGGCTGCTGCTGGCGTCTGCTGTAGCCTCACGACTCCAACCGTACATGGCAGAAGATTTGAAGCCATAAAACCAGCTTGGTTTTGTCACAGGATTTAGAAAAGCAAAGCCCTCTGTGCGAAGGGATGTCACTTCCAACGTGCTTCAACTGGTGTTTAAAATTTTACTTGGAAATTTGTAACATGTGCTTTAAAAACCACATCAGAGTGTGTAAAATCTTGCCCAGTTATTAAATGAGCTTTACATCCACCAGTGGACACCATCCCCTCCAGCTCCGTAGATCCCACAGACACACAGACTGAAAACCCTTCCGCAATCTGCTTTTTTTGAAGGTGGGTGCTAAGCATGAGACTTTTTCATCTGTTAATGAAAGATAAATATTGCAAATCACATGAAGGTGAGATTGTTTGTCTGTAACGATTGTGGTGTCAGGGCTTAAGGACACGCTCCTAAAGCCATGGGTGACCTGAGGTACCTCAGCATCACACAGTAGCACTGTCTTAGCTCCTGCTAAACACTTTTGCCCACCAAACCTCCTTTTCAATGCTTTTTATTTTTTTGTTGTTTATTCAATAAAGAAGATGTGGGCTGGTGGATGTGTCAAGGCTGTGGTGGGATGGACATCTGGCTCAGCTGGCGCTTTGCATGCCCTGGTCTTGCTGCAGGCTCCTTCTGCTGAAGCCGTCCTGGAGGGTCCTGGGGCTCCCCTGTCTCAGCCCTGTTGTCCTACCCATTCCTTAGAACTGCCCACTGCTCCAGCAGTGCCAGCACAGGGTAAAGCCATGCTGACGGTCTTCCCCATGGCCCCGAGCTGGTAAGAGGCGACTTGGTGTTGGTGAACACGAGGATGCTCACCCCTGAACCCCAGTTCTGACCGCTGGCTGGGGAACACTCCTCATCCCTCGCTCTCAGCATCACAGCCCTCGGGTACCAGTGAAGTGGCTCTGCTGCCAACTCTGCCCTGGGAAGGACCCAGCCTTGCATGTGACAGGGATCTCCTCAGCTCTTCTCCGTTGGCACCAACTGCAGACAAGCCTCTTGGGTGTTGATGGAAACTCTCCAAACCCTGGTGCTTGCCAAGAGCTGAAGAGGTTCACTTGCTTTTTCAGGTCAGATGGCAGCATTAGCTTATGGATGTGCCAAGGGGGGTGTTTCAAGACCATGCCTTTCAGTGAGGTGTCTCCTAACATCTCTAAGCTTTTTGGTAAGTCATCAGCTGTTGATGAAACGAAGCCCTTCAATGCTCTCCAGCAAGAAGAGCATCTGCTGTCATCACTGACCTGATGTGATCTGCTGTCCAAGACCCTTTGATGAAGCTGCAGTGTCCCCCCCCCAGGACTATTCCTCGCATGGGCATCTCTTGGCTACCTTGTCATAGCCCCAAACTTTGTATCTCAAATCTGCGGATTGGTGGAGGTGAGGCAGCATTGCACCTCGGGATGAAGCTGTTCAGGGAAAAACCTGCTCTTCAACGGCTGAGTCAGTGGGAGTCACACAGTTGTCTTTTCATCTTTTTTCAGTAGCATCCTGGAATAAAAATACCCCAAAACTCATGGATCTGGCTGGGGTTTTCTCAGTTAATTATTTCTAGTTGGAAAGTGGCCACTTGGGGAAGTGAAACTTTTTGGCAGAGCAGTGCCAGCTTCTGCAAGATTTTGATAAGTGATTTTCCTGGCGGTTCTGCAGTGGGTCTCAGCTAGTAAATAAATAGAAAGGCACCAGTTTTGTTGGCACAGAGACAAATCCAGAGAGTGCAAAACTCTTTTTCTGACCCAAAATTCTTGTTTTCCAGCTTTTCTGAGTTAGTAACATCTGCTTGATATGAACCTTATTCATCGACCAAATCTGGACATTTATTTTGTTGGTGCTGCATTAAAACATGGCCGTGACCGTAAAACTGTTGCACTGTAAATAACCAAAGGAAGGAAGGATTCTTGCCATCATTTTTGACCAGGTATTTGGGGACAAACAGATGAACTGACTTGGGGTCAGCAGGAGACTGCATCCCACAGGCAGTGGCTGTGGTTCCCCTGCCCTGTGCGGAGCAGCTGATGCTGTGGGGGTGATGTTTTGCTGGGGTGCTTAAAAGTGAGGATCTGGCCTATATAGCCCCAAGATGCTTCCCCTCTCCCCTTTTAGATCAAAATACCACCAGCAGCTGCTGGCTTGGGTTATGAGGTTCTCCTACAGAGCCATGAGTGGGCTCATACACTTACAAACATACATCCAATTTCTTATGGCCTTTCTGCTAAAAATAGCCCACAAAGACCCCAGATAAAAGCAGCACCCCCAGTTGTTCCTGCCTGTAAAACTGGGAGCAATAGTTCTCCTCCAAAGAGACTGCCAAAGCCTCTGATCCTGACCTAACAGAAAAGATGCTAATTAAATGCTGACCTCCCATATTTTCTTTTTCGGTATGTTTAACCTTAAATTCCTTCAGGCACCTCTGGTTCACTGAAGCTCGTCAAATTAATGCTACCTAATGGGAAGCAGTATGCAATAACAAAGAAGGACTGTCTCCATCTCTGACTCAGTTTCGGCTGCTCTGAACAAAACGAGGGTGATTTTCCTGGGTGATCGGGGCGCCGGCAGACCCAGCTTGGAGCCAGGGCACCGGGACACCCGCTGCAATTAGCACTTGGGAACGAAGGGCCCCATTTGCTGGGGATGCTGCTGGGTTAAGCCCTGTGAATTTTGCCACCATGCTGCTAGAGGTGAAGAGTTTGTCGTGACGCTTCACAGCCTCTGTAATAAAATCGCAGTTGCTGGGGGATCTGGCGGTGCCCATCTGCCGCAGACCCCTGTCCTGCCCTTGGCAGGAGGGAGCAGCAACCTGGAGTCGGCACGAGCCAGAACCAGATCCCAGCCCCGTCCTGAATGGGGGAGAACACGCCAGATCTGTGCCCAGGGGATGAAGTCGAAGCCTTGTCCCGTGGGTTAGACCCTCTGCCCTTGCTCTGCTTCACTTTTGGTGGGGACAGGGACCCCTGGCCGGTGCCAGGCAGGGAGGAGGGCTTGGCTCCTGGGAAATCACATCAGCTCTCGGCGTTCCTGGTCCTCCTGCTCTATTGCTATAATAGCCACCATTTGCGATTTTTAGGGCGATTCCTAAGTTTTTTCCCAATGCAAGGATGGCTGGGTGTGAATCAGAGGGCTGAACCCTGCATTGCCACTGAGCTGGCTGCCGCTTGGTCACCCTTCCGTAACGCTGTTCCTCTTGTTTCCAGCCCGGCATGCCTTATCTTTTTCCCTCTGCAGCCCATAACTAGTGCCGATGATGGTTGGAGAGCCCCTTGCTGCTCCCGGTGGGTTTGTGCAGAGCTGCTCCCATCCACGGCTCCTCCGGAGGGCGAAGTCGGGTGTCCCAGTGCAGGGTGATGGGGTGACAGCAGCCGACTCGGCAGTTGGCTCGGGCTCGTTGCCTTGCTCAGGAGAAGGGAAAAGGCTCTTTGCATTTGTGGTTTGTTGCCTGTGAGGGGTGTGAGCTAGGAGGGACTGGGGGCTGGCTGGCGGGTGTTTGTAAAATGCTCAGAAATCCCCATGTGGAAAGAGCTGATGAAATTATCGCCTGGAGCTGACGGGGCAGGGAAGGATTCTGCTCCACGAATGCTCCCGCAGCTGCTTTGAATTCACCTTGCCTCTCATCTTCCCCACACTGATGCTGCCCCCGCCGCTCCCGCATCCCATGCCGCCGCTGGCGGGGGTTTTGCTCTCCCCACCCTCGGGGAAAGCAGTTGCCCCCAGCCCCTCGGTACCGCAGGCCCTGTAGCACCACCCTGACCTCTCCGGCCTTGAGCCTCTTACCTGCTTGGATAGCTTCATGGCATCTGATGTCTGCCGCAACCCCCTGCTCCCCCCACCCTGCCCACCTCCCCGCGTGCTCCGGCAGGACCCCATGGGGATGCGGGAGCTGGTGCTGGGGGAGCTGGCCGTTCCACAGGACTCAAAAACCAGCTGCTAAAAGAGTTAAGCCCACGTGCTAGAAGATCTGGGGGTTGTGCGTGTGTTGGTGCTGGGTGGTGTGCGCTGTGTGTGCGCTGCGTCCTCCCCACGCGCGACGGGGGGAGCGTGGCACAGAGGAGGTCGCAGGGAAGGGTTAATGCCGCTGCAGGATTTACACAGCGGCAACTCCAAAGGCTCCAGATATGTGTCCTGCCCCCAAAATGGCCTCTTTTGGGGAAACTTCCCCGCTGTGCTGAAAAGTGGCGAGGGAGGAGGAGCAGCCCCACGGGCCCCACAGTGCTTATCTGGTGGCGGGAGGCAGATAGGCCGGCACTGCTCCCGGCCATTTATGGGGCTGAAATCCAACCAGTGCGTACGTGCATGGCTGCATCCCGGCCTGGGGACACGGGGGATGGCGAGGGGGTTCGCTCGGAGGGAGGAGGTGCAGGTCGGGCTTGCAGGAGGGCAGAGTGTGGCCCTGACCCCGCGGCCCCCGGCTGTCAACTCCTGTCCCGGCACAATGACTCCGGTAGTGCCTGACAGGGGCGAGAGGAGCCCTTATCTCGGTTCCCCCACTGTAGCAAAACTCAGTGCCTTTATTTTAAGCACGCTCTGCCTAAAATGTTGTCAAAGTGGCTTGAAACATCCTTCCTGATTTAGGCAGATGCTAAAACTGAGAAACTCACGGCTTTCACAACATTTGTTTTGGCTTTTGCAAACTTTTGCAGGGCTTCTGCAGCAGTTGTTGTTTTTTCCCTGCGTGCCTTTGGTGGTTACTTGGCTGGGTGCGGTGGGGGGAGCAGGGCTGGACACTGCCACCTCGGCTGCCTGCCCGGCCACATCCCATCACGTCGCGTTGTCCTCAGTGCTGGATGTCCTCTGCTCTGCCCCCAGCCATGCCGGAGCCCGTCCATGCCTACTCCTGCCCGCTGTTCTGGACTGAGTACGAAGGCCATTGCTACCGGTACTTCCCCATCAACAAAACCTGGGCTGAAGCCGACCTCTATTGCGCCGAGTTCTCCATTGGCATCAGATCAGCCAAGCTGGCCTCCATCCACAGGTGAGGAGTGCAGAAACTTGTCATCTCACCCTGGCACAGCCTGGGGAAGAAGGAAAATGGGGACAAAGTCCCATTCCCACAGCACATCCTCTGTGCCAGCCGCAGGCTCCCGTCCCAGCCTCAGCATCCCTCTGTATCAGCCTGAGCATCTCTCTGCAGCAGCGACTGGGACAAGTCTGATGCACCGGGCATGCAAAGGCAATGTGAAAAATGACTTTTCCTGGGCTGTCAGGAAAACTGACATAGCATTCCCTAAATTCCCCCAAACTGCATTTTTTCACTCTTGAAAAAGGGATAGAAGTAGAATGTGATTACACGGGCTTTTTCCCCTGCTGCCTCTCCCCCAGCTCTACTCTACACACCTCTTGCCCACACTACGCACCTCTTGCACAGACCTGGGAAAGTAATCAATAGCAATTAGAAGCAGGGGACCCATTTGGCCATACCGTAGGGCGAATTCTTAGGGGCATGCCTGACCATTTGCCTGACATAACCCCTCAGCGGTTCTGTACTGCTCTGTTTTGCCAGCTGGGAAGAAAACGTCTTCGTGTATGACCTGGTGAACAGTCGAGTGCCAGGCATCCCCACTGACATCTGGACGGGACTCAACGACCTGCGGCAGGTGAGAGCTCCCCAAAACCATGTGGGAAATTGCTTTTAAAAATTCACTTCCCCCCATTTTCACACTGGAAAGCCACTTGATTGTCTTCTTTGCTCTATAGTCCCATTAATCAGGTGATGGCGTAGGGTCTGTTGTGCAGCCCACGAGCAAAAGTTGTCATTCCATCCCCTCCAGTCTGCTTTCAAAAGTGTTACTAGAATTAATAGATTAATAATTACAAATTTTTCACATCATATTCTTTTAATGGATTAATAGAAAGAGTATTGTACTGCTGAGAAGAGCAAACAACCTGAAAACGTCTCCAATGTCAAAAATCACCAAGTTTCATTGCCTTCTTGTGATACTCTGCAACTTTTCAAAGCTGACATGTTGGAAATATATAGTCTAATATGTAATAAAGAAAAATTGAGAGCATCAGGAGAACAGTCCCATGCCAGCAAATTTTTTTGTAGATCTTGGGAAAGGAATGGAAAAGAAAAAGGAACACAGAATTGGGTGGGTGTGTTAAAAAATATATGAGTTTAATTTCTGGGTCTCCCCTGGTGCGAATGCTGCAAATGCTGGGGCTTTCCAGGGTAAGTTTTCGGCTGTAAAACCCAAACCTGCTGATTGGCCTTTGCTGAGTGGTGAGAGTCTTGCCCTGTATCCCCGGGCTGTGTGGCACCAGGGATGGGGATGGGGACGGGGATGGGGTCTGCACGGGAGTGAGACCTCCCCTAGCAAACGCAGCTCTGCAATTGCGGCCGCTCTCCACTCGCCCCACGCCAGGAGGGTCACTTTGAGTGGACAGACGGCTCCTCCTATGACTACCACTACTGGGACGGCAGTCAGCCCGACGATGGGATCCACTCCATCCCAGAGGAGGAGGACTGTGTGCAGATCTGGTACAGGCACAGCAGTGGTGAGTGCGCGCCGGGCATCCGGGGCACCTTCGCTCTTATTTGCATGTCAATAAATTCAATCCACTGTGGCTTGTGCTTTTCTGAAGAGGTTGCTGGCAGGCTGAGGATTTGCATTTTCATTTTTTATTATTATTTTCTTTTTTCTTTGTAGAGAAAGGATTTGTTTCCTCTT